AAAAGTAAACATTTAAGTCAACACTCACAGGCGACAGGCTGTTTCATGTTGGACGTAATCGTCAGGCGGCCTGACGATAGCTTCCGGCATGTAATAGCCTGTCCCCTCTAAGTGTTGACTTTAATGTTCACTTATATATATATATATATATATATATATATATATTACTGCTTGCCATTCGGTTGATTTAACTTTCTGCACATGTACGCTCATACATGTATGTATATATAAATATTTGTTATTACTATGTAATATAACAATAAAAACAACGGCAATAGGACAACAATAATTTCAATTGTAGTTGGAGCCCTCCGTATGAATGGAAAAGGTTCCGATAGACATATTGAAGGGATACCTGTCAGTCCAATCTTTGAAGATATAAAAAAAATTGTACGCACGTGTACAGCTCACGCTTTACGAAGGGCATTAGAAGGGTATCAAAAATACTATTGCAAATTCTGGGGTCGGATTCCTCACACCAAAACAAAGTCTGGAGACACAATCTGATAAAGCCGTGCCTCTTGTGCCCATTACCATTCGTTCGGCCTTGTGTAAAAATCATATCTGCCATTGTTAAAAGAACCCTTCACAGTTAACACATTACTGCACACGTTAAACGTTAAAGCCATACTAGCCATAAATCTACACGAATGACAAATGTAGCTTAGTCTATATGACAACACGTCGCCATCTACCGTAAACTTATTTAAGCTTAAGATTTTTGGACATATGTTTATATTGATTGAATATATATATATATATATATATATATATATATATATATATATATATATATAAAGATGAAGAAATATAGTCTTAAGGTGTGCTATATTTATGGGATAAAGTGCTCGATATCAGAGATAGAGCGTGTGTAAATATAAAAGTGAACATAAAGTCATCACTTAGAGGCGACAGTCTGTTTCATGCTATATGCAATCGTCAGGCCACGATTGCATATAGCATGAAACAGACAAAGGGTTGAAAATCGAACTGAACCTTTTTACGTTCTAGTTCCACTTGCCATGTTTGATGGATGTCAATTATCAGTTATCTCCTGTTTATCTACTGTGCCATGTGTCCTCAAGTGGGTAAAGGCGTTGGTTAGATCCAGTGACAGGACCCAAAGAGTGTGAGTTCAATACCCGGTTAAGGCAGTGGAGAACTTGGAGAGGGGAATTAACAGGAGATAACTGATAACTGACATCCATTAAACATGGCACGTGGAACTAGAACTAGTTTACCCCAGTGAGCGAAATAAAGGGTTCAGTTCGACATTCCAACCACCTGAAGAAGGCCGGAGCGTAAAACGACCGAAAGGTTGTGATAAATATGGCGACAACGATGAGGACAGTAGTCCGAATAATGTAAATAAAACTGTCCAAAATTGCAAAACTGTTAGATTAAGCTTTGAACCGTTCGATCTTAGAAATGATTAAAGGCATATTGCACAAATTCTCCGTATGTATACAGAACAAAAATAGTTTTCTAACGGTGTTTGTATATATATATATATATATATATATATATATATATATATATATATATATATATATATTACTACTACTACTACTATTTGAATTCATTTGTTTTAAATGTGCTGAAAATTCCTCCCTGAACTTATCTTCTGAAGACTACTCTGAAAGCAAACAAGAACTTTGATAAAGTCAATCAGAGGACGAAACTTATCGGCTAAAATGAATTTTTTGTCTTTATTCTTATTGTCCTTTTACAGATATATTGGACATTTACACACACACACACACACACACACACACACACACACACACACACACACACACACACACACACACACACACACAGACACAACACACACACACACATTTCACAAATATAACTCCGTCTTGTAAATTTCATGTATTGATGGACTCTCCCGTCTTGTAAAAGTATAATTAGATGGAGAGTCCATCATCTATAAAAGTATGTTCATTTTTTTCAATATATATGTATATATAGGTATATATATATATATATATATATATATATATATATATATATATATATATATATATATATATATATATATAGAGAGAGAGAGAGAGATAGAGAGAGAGATAGATAGATAGATAGATAGATAGATGTGTATATATACGCGAGCACGCGCGTGTGTGTGTAGGTATGAATGTATGTATATATTGGGGTGTTTACTTGTTCATTTTCTTTGGGATTATCTCAAATGTGTGTATTTATTTGTATGTTTAGTTATTTACATTCTAATTTACATTTCTTTACTTATCTTTTTCTTACATTTCAGTGTCATACCACCCTTTTTCTCCTAAATACATCATCTTTAGCGATCTTCTATCAACTGCCTGCTTTCTCCTTTTCTTTTCCTCTCACAGACATGCCTTGCAGTCGTCATATCGTCGGGTGGCACAACTCAACCTCGTCATAATTCCGACGTAATTTCCCCCCGCCCAACCTCCACTACACCCTCTTCCTTCCCACTTTACTGCATCTCTTCCGTTGTCTACCTGTGTCGACACCCTCCTTCTACCCTTTTAAAAATTTGTTTCTCTAACTTTCGAAGGCGACGTCTCCATCTTGGGCTGCTTACATTCGTAATTTTTTCCTTTGGTTTTTATTTTTTTTTATATTTTGTCGTTCCTTTCCTTCTTTTACTTATTGACTTCTTTCTTTTTTTTTCTCTGATTTTTACTTCTTTCATCCATTTTTTTTTGTTTTATTCACCATTCCTCCTTTCTTTCGATACCACATCTTATTTTTCTTTATCCATTTCCCGATTACCTTTATCAGTGTCAAATTTTTGGTATGGATTCGTTCTTTTCTATTTTTCGCTGGGCTCTTCTTTCTTTCTTTCTTTCTTTCTTACGTTTCTTTCTTTCATTCTTTCTTCCTTTCATTTATTCTTCCTTTCTTTTCTTCCTTTTCTTTTTTGTTTGCATCATTTATATTAACTCTTTCATTTTCTGTCTTGCATTTTATAATTTGCTTAATTCTCTTGTTTTCTTTCTTTCTTTCTTTGACTTACTTATTTTATGTTTGTCCTTCATTTTTTCATTCTTTTTCTCATTATCTTTTTTGTCATTTTTCAAATTATCTTTCATCTTTCTATCTGATTTTTCCTTTCTTTTTATTTCTTTTCTTTTCTTTCTTTCTTTCTTTCACATATTTTGTTTTTCTCCTTCATGTTTTCTTGCCATTTACATTTATTATTCTTTCTTTCTTTCTTTCTTTCTTTCTTTCTTTCTTTCTTTCTATTCCTCATCTCTTTTTATGTTAGATGATTCTTCTTCTAGATTATGAATTTATTTATCGCCATTCTTATTTTCTTTCTGACAGTATATATACTTTCTTTTTTCTTTCTTTCATCTTTTTCTTTATTTTACTTCTATCTTTCATGTACTTTTTTGTCCTTTGGTTTCACTCATTTCCTTTTTTTTCGATTTCTTTCTCGATTTCTTTTTTTTTTTTCGATTTCTTTCTTTCTCGATTTCCCATTTTAACTCATTTATTTAAACCTGCGAACTCGTCTGAAAATTATGATCCTCGGTCTCTCCGAACGACATCTTATACTGCAATGTCTTAACATTACAAATCCATCGAAAATATCCTAGACAAGAGTTAAATGCATCCATGGATTTGCAATCCGTTAATTTATGTTATAACGAAATCGTTTCTCTATTTTCTGTTATTTTTTATCATAAGTTTTATCTTTTGATTTTCTATAGGTTTTTGAAATTTTCAGGGTCCATTTTTCACATCTTTGCCTTTATTTCATTGACCTTCTTTTTCTAACATTTCTTTTTCTCTTTGATTTCTTTTTTTTTTTTTTTTTTGGTCTCCCTTAAATTAGTTTTTTCATCTTCTTTTAAGTTCTTCCTCCAAAAATATCTATTTTTGTCTTATCTTTCTTTCTTTCTTTTCTTTCTTTCTTTCTTTCTTTTCTTTTTTCTTTCTTTTTTCCGACTTCAAATATTCTTTCTTTCTTTCTTTTCTTTCTTTCTTTCTTTCTTTCTTTCTTTCTTTCTTTCTTTTCTTTTCTCTTTCTCCAAATTTTTTTTTTTCTTTCTTTTCTTTCTTTCTTTCTTTCTTTCTTTCCACTGCTTTTCTTTCCGACTCCAAATATTCTTTCTTTCTTTCTTTCTTTCTTTCTTTCTTTCTTTTCTTTCCTGCTTTTTCTTTTTCCAAATATTTTTTCTTTCTTTCTTTCTTTCTTTTTTTCTTTCTTTCTTTCTTTCTTTCTTTCTTTTCTCTTTCCGACTCCAAATATTCTTTCTTTTTCTTTCTTTCTTTCTTTCTTTCTTTTCTCTTTCCGACTTCAAATTTCTTTCTTTCTTTCTTTCTTTTTTCTTTCCGACTTTCCAAATATTTCCGACTCCAAATATTTTTCTTTCTTTCTTTCTTTCTTTCTTTCTTTCTTTCTTTTCTCTTTCCGACTTTCTTTCTTTTCTTTCCGACTTCAAATATTCTTTCTTTCTTTCTTTCTTTCTTTCTTTCTTTCTTTTTCTTTCCCTGCTTTTCTCTTTCCGACTCCAAATATTTCTTTTTTTTCTTTCTTTCTTTCTTTCTTTTTTTTCTTTCTTTCTTTTTCTTTCCGACTTTCTTTCTTTTTCTCTTTCTTTCTTCAACTTTCTTTCTTTTTTTTTTCAAATTTCTTTCTTTTTTCTTTTCTTTCTTTCTTTCTTTCTTTCTTTCTTTCCACTGCTTTTCTCTTTCCGACTCCAAATATTTATTCTTTCTTTCTTTCTTTCTTTCTTTCTTTCTTTCTTTTTTCTTTCCGACTTTCTTTCTTTTCTCTTTCCGACTTCAAATATTCTTTCTTTCTTTCTTTCTTTCTTTCTTTCTTTCTTTCTTTCTTTCTTTCTTTCTTTCCACTGCTTTTCTCTTTCCGACTCCAAATATTCTTTCTTTCTTTCTTTCTTTTCTCTTTCCGACTTCCAAATATTCTTTCTTTCTTTCTTTCTTTTCTTTCTTTCTTTCCGACTTTCTTTCTTTTCTCTTTCCGACTTCAAATATTCTTTCTTTCTTTCTTTCTTTCTTTCTTTCTTTCTTTCTTTCTTTCTTTCCACTGCTTTTCTCTTTCCGACTCCAAATATTCTTTCTTTCTTTCTTTCTTTCTTTCTTTCTTTCTTTCTTTCTTTCTTTACATCTATCGTATTCCCGATTCTTTTTACCAATCTTTCTTTCTTTATTTTTTTCTTTCCACTACTTTTCTCTTTCCGACTCTACATATGCTTTCTTTCTTTCTTTCTTGTTTTTTCATTCTTTCTTTTTTTCTGTTTCTCATTTTTCAATTTTTCCCTCTCTGTCGCTCCTAGTTCTGATTCTGTTTATCACTCTTTCATTCTCTCATCTTTCTTTCCTTCTACTCTTTTTTTCTTTTTCCGACCCCAATATGCTTTCTTTCTTTTTTTCTTTCCCTATTTTTTTTCCTCTTGCCCGTTTCCTTCCTGGAAACCATTTTCTTTTCTTCACTTATTCTTCCTTACCTTTAAATTCTTGCAACTTTTTCTACATTTTTCTTGTTTCTTCCTTACCATAATTAAGTCCAATTTTCTTCAATTTTCAAAGAAAACTTCTGACTAGTCATTCTTTCCCTCATACCTCAAAATGTAAAAAGAAAATGAGGGGTTGGTGATATTCATGATCACAAATCCCCCCTTACACTAACACACCTGGATGAGCGTCGTCCATAATTTTAATTGTCCACTTTAATCTATTTTTTTTTCTTTCATATCTGTTTCCGTGTTCACGTTTCTTCTTCTATGGTATTTTCAACTTTTATCTCATCTTTCTTGATTTTTACAACGCTTCAAAACTTTACGGCGGGTCAATAAGTCTGTAGAAGAAATTTGATCTGAAATTTTCAATATATAATGTTCGATATTTATATTAAAATTCACTACCGAATTAAGGCGTTTGTCAGGAAAGATTTTATTGAAAAATATAAATTTGTTGTGTAAAATAATCATAAAATAAAATAAAAAAAAATCTATCATTAGACTGTGGTCTTATTGATGTCACCATGTATTCTTTACTTTTAATATGTATGTATTTCTGTTACAGATGTTTTTAATGATTTGTCTGTACGTCTCGTGTTTAGCTTTCGTCAGACATTTTGTTTCTTTTTTTTTATTTTGTTAGTCTCCATCTATTTTTTTACTTGTATTCCGTTTGCATCTTTTAAATGGTTCTTTCTTCTTTTGTTTCTTTTTACTTATTTGTTCTTTCTTCTCGCCTATTGTTTTTAATATTTTCAGTTTCTATCGAAGCATTTCGTTTTTCGTTTCACTCTGTACCAACTGATTTTCACTTTTATTTATCTGCTTCGTTTATTTCTTTCTTCTTTTTCATATCTATTATTTTCCGTCTTATCTTCCTCTTCTCCTTCCTTTTTTTCTTTCTGTTTTAATCTCTTTTCGTTTTTCTTCTTTTCTATCTTTCTTTTCTTTTTTTTTAATCTCTATTTCTTTGCCTTTTTATCTTCCTGGTTCCTTTTCTTCTTTTTGTCGATTTTTTTTTTTATACTTTTTCGTTTTCACATTTCTTGTTTTCATTTTTCTTTATTTATTGTAATTTTCTTCTTTTTTTTCTACTTCCTTTCCTTGCTTTTTTTTTCACTTTTTTCGATCTCTTCTTTACTTTGACTTTTCATTTGATTCTTTCTCATTCCATTTTATTCTTTCTCTTTCCATTTTCTTTTTCTCTTTCCCTACCATTTTTTCTTCCATAACCGTTCTTTCTTTGCATTTGCTTATTTCCCTTTCCATTTGATTCTTTCTCTTTCTCATTTCTTCTTTCTCATTCGTTGTTCTTCTTTCGCTTTTCCGTTCAATGCTGTCTTCTTTCTGTTTCTCTTCGTTTCTTTCGCTTTCCCTTCATTTCTTTCTCTTCCCCTTGGCGTCTTTTTTTCTCCTTTTCTTCTTTCTCTTTCCCATTCTTTGTTTATCCAACCTTTTGTTACTTTCTTTTCTATTTGTCTTTCCTTTTGTTTCTTTTTTTCTCTTTCTTCTTTATCATTCCCTTTGTTTTTTTCTCTTTCCTTTTTTTTCTTTCTCATTCCTTTTTCTTCTTTTGTCTTTCCCTTCGTTTCTTTCCTCCTTTCCTTCGTTTCTTTCTCTTCCCATTTTTATTTGTCTTTCCTTTTGTTTTTTTTTTTCTCTTTCTTCTTTATCATTCCCTTTGTTTTTTTCTCTTTCCTTTTTCTTCTTTCTCATTCCTTTTTCTTCTTTTGTCTTTCCCTTCGTTTCTTTCCTCCTTTCCCTTCGTTTCTTTCTCTTCCCCATTTTTTATTTGTCTTTCCTTTTGTTTCTTTTTTTCTCTTTCTTCTTTATCATTCCCTTTGTTTTTTTTTCTTTCCTTTTTCTTCTTTCTCATTCCTTTTTCTTCTTTTGTCTTTCCCTTCGTTTCTTTCCTCCTTCCCTTCGTTTCTTTCTCTTCCCCATTTTTTATTTGTCTTTCCTTTTGTTTCTTTTTTTCTCTTTCTCTTTCTTTATCTCTTTCCTTTTGTTTTTTTTCTCTTTCCTTTTTCTTTCTTTCTTTTCCTTTTCTTCTTTTGTCTTTCCCATTTTCGTTTCTTTTCCCTCCTTTCCTTCCTTCCCTTTGTTTTTTTCTCTTCTTCCCATTTTTTATTTGTCTTTCCCTTTTGTTTCTTTTTTTTTCTTTCTTCATTTTTTATCATTTCCCTTTGACTTTTTTTTCTCTTTCCTCATTTTTCTTCTTTCTTTCATTCCTTTTTTCTTCTTTTGTCTTTCCCTTCGTTTCTTTCCTCCTTTCCTTTGTTTCTTTCTCTTCCCCATTTTTTATTTGTCTTTCCTTTTGTTTCTTTTTTTCTCTTTCTTCTTTATCATTCTTTGTTTTTCCCTTTTTTTTTCTCTTTCCTTTTCTTTTTTTCTCATTCGTTTTTTTCTTCTTTTGTCTTTCCCTTCGTTTCTTTCCCTCTTCCCTTTGTTTCTTTCTCTTCCCCATTTTTTATTTGTCTTTCCTTTTGTTTCTTTTTTTCTCTTTCTTCTTTATCATTTGCTTTTTTTTTCTTTCCTTTTTCTTCTTTCTCTTTCTTTTTTTTCTTTTGTCTTTCCTTACGTTTCTTTCCCCTTTCCTTTGTTTCTTTCTCTTCCCCATTTTTTATTTGTCTTTCCTTTTGTTACTTTTTTCTCTTTCTTCTTTATCATTCCTTTTGTTTTTTCTTTTTCCTTTTTCTTCTTTCTTGTTTCTTTTTCTTCTTTTGTCTTTCCTTTCGTTTCTTTCTCTTCCCCATTTTTTATTTGTCTTTCCTTTTGTTTCCTTTTTTCTCTTTCTTCTTTATCATTCCCTTTGTTTTCTCTTTTTTCTTTTTCTTCTTTCTCTTTCTTTTTTTTTTTTGTCTTTCCTGTTTCTTTTCTTTCCCTCTTCCTTTTTGTTTCTTTCTCTTTTTTTTTTCTTTTTTTTATTTGTCTTTCCTTTTGTTTTTTTCTCTTTCTTCTTTATCATTCCCTTTTTTTTTTCTCTTTCCTTTTCTTCTTTTCTTTTTCCTTTTTTTTCTTCATTTTTTTTGTTTTTCCTTTTCTTTTTCTTTTCCTTTTCCTTTGTTTTCTTTTCTTCCCCATTTTTTATTTGTCTTTCCTTTTTTTGTTTTTTTTTTCTCTTTCTTCTTTATCATTGCGTTTTTTTTTCTTTTCCTTTTCTTCTTTCTCATTCTTTTTTCTTCTTTTGTCTTTCCCTTTTTTTCTTCTTTCCTTTTGTTTCCCTTCGTTTCTTTTCCCCCTTCCCTTCGTTTCTTTTTTTCCCTTTTTTCTTTGTTTTTCTTTTCTCTCCTTCCATTTTTTTATTTGTCTTTCTTTTTTGTTTTTTATTTTTCTTTTCTTCTTTATCATTCCCTTTTTTTCTCTTTCCTTTTTTTCTTTCTCATTCCTTTTTCTTCTTTTGTCTTTCCCTTGTTTCTTTCTCTTTTCTTTTTTCTCTTTCCAGTCTTTTCTTTCTCTTTCCTTTTTCTTCTTCCTTTCACCTCCTTTTCTTTTTTGTTTCCATTTTCTTCATTGTATTTCCCTTCGGTTCTTTCTCTTTTCTTTCCTTTTTTTCTATCTCCTTTGTCTTCTTTCTTTCCTCCTCTTCTCTTTTCGGTTAACATTTGCTTCTCTCTGTCCCTTTTCTATTTTACTGTCTTTATATATGTTTTTTTCGTTTCACCTTTCCTGCTTTTCATTTTACTTTTTTCTCTCTTTTTTTTTCGTGTGTGTATATATATATATATATATATATATATATATATATATATATAGTGTTTGAGTCTTTTTATATTACATTATATTTTTACTCTGTTCTGGACATTGAGTTATACCTGGATTCTATCCTCTTGGGATTTATATATATATATATATATATATATATATATATATATTTATATGCATTGACCACTAATATTATCATATATATATATATATTTTCTTTTCCTTTTTATGTGCTTTTTTTATCCTTTATCGCTTTACTTGGTTTTTATCATTCTATTCTCCTTTTTTTTATTCTATTTCTTTATCTTCACTTTCATGTTCTTTTGCAAATGCTCGTCTCTTTTTATCCTTTCTCTTTTTCTTTCTCCTTTTTGTTTTACTTTAACTTTCACCCTTTTCTTCTTCATCCTTCCTCTCCTTTTTATTCGTATTCCTTTCTCTCCTTTTTTACTCCTTTTCCATTACTTTTCCGCCTTCTCTTTTATATGTTCCCTTATTCCTTTACATTTTTTAAAATAGTTTTCTTAATTCAATTCTTCTCTTCATTTTCTGTATTTTTCTTTTCTCGTTTTCTTCCCCTTATTTTCATTTTCTACTTTATCCGCTTTCGTTTATTTTCTATTTTCTATTTTTGCCTCTTCCTGTGTCCTGTTTTCTTTACTTATTTTTCTGTCTTTTCACTTTGCTTTTTATCTCGATTTTAATATTCATTATCCTATGTTCTATTTTTTTTTAATCTTTTCGTTCATCTTTTTGCTGTTTTCCTTTAAATTTCTTTCATTTTCTACTATTTTCTCTGCTTTTTTTCTCTCTATTTTTATCCAGCAATTCTTCTTTTTTCTTTTGCTTACTAGCTTTTTCCTTTAATTTTACTTTTAATTTTCAACGTTCTTTTTCACCCTTTTCTTTTTACTTTTCCGCATCTTTCCCTTTCGTTTCTCTTTTCCTTCTCTTTCTTTTTCAATACTTTTCCTACTCTGTTCATTTCTTTTTTTTTTAATATCTTCATTTCCCACCTTTTTTTTTTTTATCCATTTTCGTTTTCTGTTTTCTTCATTTTCTATTCTATTTTACCATTTATCTTTTCTTTCTACTCTTTTGTTTTTTTCTTCTTTCTGTTCATTTTCTGTTTCTATTTTTATTTTCTTCACTTTTCCTTCTTTATCTTTATTTTATGTTCCCTCTCTCGTTATGTTTTCCTTTTCTTTCTTCATTCTTTTTATCTTCCTTTTCTTTCAATTATTTATACATCTTCTCTTTTTCTTCCTTTTTTCTTCCTTTCCTTCTTTTTTCTTCTCCTTCATAATAGTTCGCTTTTTTAATTACTGCTTTCTTTTTCTCCCTTTTCTTTTTCTTTCACTTCATCTTTCTTTTTGCTTTTCTCTTTTTTTCCTTTATTTTTACGCCCAAACTTTTCTTCTACTTCCCTTTCTTCTTTTCTCTTCATTCAATTGTTTCTGCAGTTTCTTCTTTTCTTACCTTTTTTCTTTTTTTTTTCGTTTTCTGCCCCTCTTCCTTCCCATTTTCATTTCTTTCCGCCTTTATTATCCTGTTTTTATTTGTTCATTTTTTTAATTTATCCTTTTTTCTCTGTTCTTCTTTTAACACTTATCAGCCTTTTTTTTATCAGAAACTTGTTCATTTACTTTTTGTCTCTTCCATTTTACCTCTCCTTTTCCAATTATTTTTGTATATATATATATATATATATATATATATGTGTGTGTGTGTGTGTGTGTTCTATTAATTCTGAAACTTTTGCATATAATCTATTCTCTTTCTTATTTTCAATCCTCTTTTTCTTATTCTTATCACTTGGATTCAGTCAGACTGTTAGACTCGCAAGCGATTTATTATATGTTCTTTTCTTCTAGGATCTGGCCCACCATTGTGTTGTTCTCGTCCAACAAATGTTTCTTATTTTCATATTATTTATTTATTTACGCGTTGTTTTTACACTAAGATGCCACTTTTTTTTTCTTCTCTTCCTTTTTATTAAACTTCTTTCTCAATTTTCTCAACTTTCATTCTATTTTAAGACATAATTCTTTCTTTCTTTCTATTAGGTTGGTGCAAAAATAATGACGTAATAATGTCGTTTTTTGACGTTACGTCAAAACGACATTATTATCATTATTTTCATTAAACCCCAATATATCTTTCATTTTTCTTTGTTTCTTTCACTTTTTTCTTTATACATATTTTTCTTTTTTCTTTACTTTTTCCTTTTTTCTCTGTCAGTTTCTTTTTGTTTTTTCTTTCATCCTTTATTTCATTAATATTCGTCTTTTTTCATTCATATTCCTTCCCTATTTCTCAGTACAGCAATACATTCTTTTTCTTTCTTTGCCAATGTTCTTATTTTCTTTACTACTTCTATTTTTTATTGCCAGTTTCTCTTGTTTTTTTCTTTCACCCCTTATTCACTGCTGTTGTTCTTTCGTTTTCATTCATTTTCATTCATTTTCATTCCCTATTTCTCAATATAGTAATTCTATCTTTCTTCCTTCCTTTCTTTTTCTTTCATTTTACTTATCATTGCATCACCTTATCTGAAGACAATATTCCTGTCTCTTTCTTTCTTTCTTTAGTTCGTTTCATTGTATTTTTCTTTGTCTATTACTTTTCATTTTTTTTCCTTTTTATTTTTTTTTCATCTCACTAGTTTGCCTTTGAACCATTCCCCCCACCATATCTCATCCCACGCTCACAGTATAGTCTTTCTTTCATTCTTTTCTTCTGATTATTGTAAGTTGGTCGTTTCTTTCTTTTTTCCCCCCTTTAACAACTACAACCTTCTTTTTTTCTTACTTTTCCTTCTTTGTTTCTTACCCCTCTGTCCCATCCATTGTCACTTACATCATCATTTTTTTCTCACACTTACTCTCTTGAATTCTTTAGTCTCTTTTTCTTATCCTTATTTAGAGTAACATTTTTCTCGCTTATTACAATTTTCTTTTCTCGTTCATTGGAAACCACGTATTATTTAAATTCTGTCTTACATGCATTCTACTTTCTGCCTATTTTATAGTTTATTCGTACTAAAATATTCTTTCTATGTGTCTTACTACCCTCTTGTACTCCACTCAACACTCTCTACTTTTTTCTTGCTTTTTCTTTCTTTCGTATATGTTTCCCGCCATTTCCCATCTAACAGTCTATCTCTTGCAAGCATGTTATCATATTTTTAATTCTAGCCCTGTTCCCATTCATTTTGTTTTATTTTTCCCTCCTTTCTTTGATGTCTTTGTCTCCTACTTCTCTTATCGTCACTAAACCCCTCCCTTCACCCCGCACCTAAGCATACGCCATCACCACCACTACCACGTCTTACCCCTGTCTTTATCTTTCACACCATCTTTTTTTCCCGTCATAACCCAACCGGCACTCCCCCCCCACCTACAACCAGCCGCTTGCTTACGTTTTTCCTCCTCCTTTCATTGCACTGCGAATTCGCCTCATCCCACTCTCTATGTTTCCCGCGCTAACGTATGCACGCGCGTTCGCGCAGCCAGACTGAGACATGCGCAAACCTATGGCACGCACACACGCATGCGTAGGTGCAAAAACGCGCTCACACACACACTCCTATGTTTAAAATAAACAGATGAACGAAAAAATAAGCAAGCAAAAACAAAATACAACTCGTTTTTCTTTCCTTTTTTTTAATTTTCTTTGATAATAGTCCTCTTTTTATGTTTTGGTAATAGCATTTTGTTTTTTGTTTTGTTACGTTTTATTTTCTTCCATGTCGCCCGAGTAACCCTTCTAGAAAATCCCAAGTACGTTTTTCGACTTACTTTGACTTCATTTCTACACCGTTCAGTCGCTTTCTAACCATTTTCATTTGCCGACTTTGTTTCTTTATTAATTTCCTTCTTTCTCTTCCTCAACGCAATATGGAGTTTTTAACTTTCGATCCTTTGTCTTCCAACCGCCTTTCTTTCTTTCTTTCTATCTTTCTTTCTTTCTTTCTTTCTTTCTTTCTTTACTCGTTCTTCGTCTATCGTTATCGTTCTTTCGTTCATTTCTTTTTTTTCGATCTTTACTAATTTTTTATGTAACAATTTTTCTTTCTTTCTTTCTTTCTTTTCTTTCTTTCTTTCTTTCTTTTCTTTTCTTTTACTTTCTTCGTCTATCGTTATCGTTCTTTCGTTCATTTCTTTTTTTTCGATCTTTACTATTTTTTTTACGTAAATAATTTTTCTTTTTTTCTTTTCTTTTCTTTCTTTCTTTCTTTCTTTCTTTCTTTCTTTTCTTTCTTTACTCGTTCTTCGTCTATCGTTATCGTTCTTTTCGTTCATTTCTTTTTTTTCGATTTTACTAATTTTTATGTAACAATTTTTTTCTTTCTTTCTTTTCTTTTCTTTCCTTTTTCTTTTCTTTCTCTCTTTCTTTTCTTTTTACTCGTTCTTCGTCTATCGTTATCGTTCTTTCGTTCATTTCTTTTTTTTCGATCTTTACTAATTTTTTATGTAACAATTTTTCTTTCTTTCTTTTCTTTCTTTCTTTCTTTCTTTCTTTCTTTCTTTCTTTCTTTCTTTACTCGTTCTTCGTCTATCGTTATCGTTCTTTCGTTTTTTTTTTTTTTTTCGATCTTTACTAATTTTTTATGTAACAATTTTTCTTTCTTTCTTTCTTTCTTTCTTTCTTTCTTTCTTTCTTTTTTCTTTTCCCTCCTTCAATATTTGTTTTTCTCATGTATAAATTTATTTTTCATTTTTTTCTTTGTTTCTTTCTTTCTCGACGCATTTTCTTAAGTCTGTCTGCCTATACCTGTGTCTGTCGATATAGCATAGGTAAATATTCATGTACAGATATTTTCTCCTTTGTTCACTCTGAACGGATTGCTTGTTTATTTCTCAGTGCATTTCTCCTTTTTTCTTTCTCAGTATTTTGGCTGTTTTTATTTTTTTTTTAATTCTTTCTTGAAGATTTTCTTGTGTTTCATTCCACAATTTAATTTTTTGTCATTCTTTCTTTTTTCGATTGCATTTTTAATGTTTTTTTCTAGATTATTCTTTGTTTTGCCCGTTTATTCATTCCATGCTTCATTCATTCATTCTTTTCATTCATTCTTTCATTCTTTCATTCATTCTTTCTTTCTTTTTTACACGTTTTCACTTTTCTACCTTCTTTTTTTCGCCGTCTTTTTCCATTTTGTTCTAAATTTCTTGTTTTGTTCCATTCTTCATTCACCCACCTTTTTTTTTTCTTTTCTTCTTATTACCTTTCCACTTTTACCTTCTTTTTGCACCTTCCATTTCCCTTTCATCCTATTTTACTTCCTTCTCCATTTATCAACTCTCTTTCTTTCTTTCTTTCTTTTTCTATCTATCTTTCTTTCTTTCTTTTTTCTTTCTTTTTTCTTTCTTTTTTCTTTCTATCTTTCTTTCTTTTTTCTTTCTATCTTTCTTTCTTTTTTCTTTCTTTCTTTTTTATACCCTTTAACTTTTCTACCTTCTTTTTGCCGCCTTTTCTCGTTTTTGTTATATATTTCTTGTTCTCTTCTTTCACCCACTTCCTTTCTTTTTTCTTCCTATTTTCATTCCACGCATTATTCTTTCTTTCTAAATTTATTTTCGTCTCTATCATTCATCTCAATTTCTACAAATTTCATTCGAAACCATACTCATTCACTCCACTTCTTCTCTTTCTAACCTTTCTCACTTTCTCCTCCTACTACTTCTAACCTTTCATAGCCTCTCTTTTTTTTTATCTGCTCCTCCTACTATCCTTGTTTCGTCCCTTCATTCCACTAAACTGTCCTCCATCATAGTTTCCTTGCCACTCTCATGATGGCAACTACTCCCACCTCTGCTCTATTGATGACGTGTGCCAAACACGGAACTCTGTCACCGACCTGGGCCGTAGCCATGACAACCCACCGCCCAGAGTTGCGCGCGCCGATTCTTTGTAACTTTCGCGTGCGCTCAATCCTGCCACTGCAACTTTGCCTTTGTTTCCATCTTTCGCATCGGCGTTCGCCATTTCTTCTCTACATACGTAATAACGCGGTAACCTCCCCCCATACACACTAAAGGAACGAACATGTGTATATGCGTGCGAATGTATGTTTGTCTACCGAGTTCATGTTTGCTAATACGCATGTGTGCAAACGTGTGCATATTTATTTTATGCATGCCTATATCGTATTTAAATGTCTACGTAAATATTGACAGTTACGACCTATATATGTGTCTACTTGTTTTCCATAGATGAAGAAGAGCTGAAAAGTTCTCGACCAAGAGGTATTTCCTTACCAACATCAGATATTTTTACATTGGCCAAGATTTGAAGAACTGGATAGGAATGAAAGAAGATGCAGGTCCGAAAATTGTTGGCAGGGTACATTTTGTTTATTACGACTCTCGAATACACTGTCCAATAGATAAAATAAGCGCTGTTTAAAAAAAAAACAAAACAAAACAAAAAAACGTCTACACAAACACGTGTATCCACTAGAATATATCGTTTAAGTAATGATACATATATCTGTGTTCGTGTGTGTATATATTTGTAATTGTGGGGGCACTTGTGTCTGTGTTAATGTGTCTTCACACACAGGCACAAAACACACACATGCACAAACACGTATATATATAGGCTTATATATAGGATATATATATATATATATATATATATATATATATATATATATATTATATAAATGTATATATGTGTACATGAATGTTTATTATATGAACAATCTGTATCCATCTCTTCAAAAGTATCAATATTTTGAGTATATATATATATATATAGCTTATATATATATATATAGCTTATATATATATATATATATATATATATATATATATATATATATGTAGAGTGATTCTGTTATTATATGAATACTCTGCATTCATACCTCTTCAAAAAGTATCAGTATTTTGAATGTGAAAAATATTCCAAAAATTCACATAGACCCCACCGATTCCATCGAAGTATTCGCCTTAGTCGTGTATATAGCGATGTTAGTAGATTTTTATTTCCTATGATCGTGTTCGCAATCCGTACAAGAATCCACTCGATGCTCGCAGACGCGCGCGAACACGCATACACAAGCACGCACTGATATCTTCTGACACATTGCGTTCTGAGACATGCATATATGTACATGACACATAAATCTATAGAGATGTGTGTTTTCTTAGCATGTATACGTTAGCTTTACGGCTATGAAACACTGGTTCGAATCTCAGCCTAGTCGATTCGTCAAGGATGTCACATTTGGATAATATTAGAATTCGGAGAAAATCCCTGCGTGCAAAGCCACTGGGAATTGTCTGAAAAGCGTAACAGGGTTTGGCCCATACCGTTTAAGTGAAACTAGGTTGACAAAAAATATTCTTAGGCCATAAATGCTGGTACGAAGTCAAATGTCATCGTGACCAAGATTTTTAACGTAGTGTCCTTGTTCAATTATTGATCCCACCAGATTATACGCTTTCTCCCAGAAATTGGAATTAAGGCCAGATATATTTAAAGTAGAAAAAAGCAGTTTAGCTCTGTGGGTGTTGAACGAATATAAATTTACTTGAGATGGCATTTGCAAAAGGGGTTAGCTAGCCACGTTATATACACACATGCATTTATATATCTATATCTTTTATATGATCAGAATCAAAAACACCCATAACAATAATAACATTTCTGAATAATTCTGAAACATGTATATATGAAATACATTGCCCAAACTGCCCCTGACAAAGCACTGGTGAAACTTGCAAAAATTTAAAAGAACTGATGTATGAACAAAAAAGTGTTCACAACAATTTATCTAATGCATTAGTTATACATAGAAATAAATTCAGCAACAACTTTGCTCTAAAGAAAGCCACACTTGTTAAAAGAGAAAGTAACTTAATTAGACGGAACATTCTCGAGAGTGCGGCCAGCATTTTTCAAATATCTCCATTGATATTACTACTTTCAATGTTAAAAAACTAAAAGGAAACGGTTAAATTCATAACTTCATGCTGTTTAAAATACATAACACATAAATTAATCTCAAATAAAAATAACTTGACAAATAATTTGACCCCCAAAATTAAAGAATAACATTTATTGACTTTCATTTGGTATTGAATTGTCCCACTTGACGTCTTCCATAGCTTGCTTAGACCCTTCAGCTAACCTCATATATATTGATGAGATTTCTCAAATTTAAATATGTTTAAAAACCAATAACATTTTTGCTCTTGCATTTAAACAATCGTTACTAAATAAAATCCTTACATCAGACTTGACAAAGTCTACAGAAAACGAATGCGTCGCCTAAGATAAGTTCTATATATATATATATATAT